GAGACCAGCTCATAGCATCCAGACTATGACGCAAGGGGAAGTTCTAAATCAGAAACTGAGACCAGCTCATGGTTCCCATACCATGATGCAAGGGGAAGATCAACATCAGAAACTGAGACCAGCTCATAGCGTCCAGACTATGACGCAAGGGGAAGTTCTACATCAAGAAACCGAGACCAGCTCATGATTCCCATGTCTTGATGCTCGGGGAAGTTCTACAACTACAACAACATTTACCACGACAATGACATCTACAAACTACAGCGATTCTACGACCTACAAAATCTTGACATTTCGGGCAGAGACTGAGACCAGCTCATGGTACCCTTATCATGACACTCGGGGAAGTTAGGCATTTTACTATTTCAAGTTGAGTTCCAAAAGAAAAAGATGTACAAAAAAACAAAAAAACAAACAAAAAAACAAACAAAACAAAAATGAATTATTGATTCTGTCGCTACTCGAAAAAATGCATCGCGCAACGACGGGGAGGCGAAAAAGATAGACAGAAGAGTCGCCACCGAACTTTATTTATCCCATGAGGGGAAAGGAAAATATCGAGAAAACCTTAAGAAAGAAATGGATAAGATGGTCTCGCAACCATGAACGGGTTCGGAAGCCGGTTATGCAAGGGGAAGGTATTAGCACCCCTCGCATCCATCGTACTCGATGGGAACCTTTTGTTTGTCGATGTGTGAATTTATTTGCTTTAAACATTATGCTATAAGAAGTGTGTTTCAAAGGGGTAAAGAGAAAGGTTTAGAAACGGGGAAAGAGAGGTAACGGATGAAAGAAAAGAAAGGACAGACTCGGTAGGACTTCGCGGTCCTAGGCCTACGTATTCTCAATAAATGTGAGAAAATCAGAGTCGACGTAGTTCGGGGAACTACAGATATAGGGGGGAATGTGCTCGACAAGGATTGTGGCCCTTGTGCCTACGTATCTTTACTTGAAAGAAGTAAAGAATCAGAGCAGCCGTAGTTCGGCCAACTACGGGTGAAAGGTGAAAAAGGGAGCTCGCCAAGACATCGCCGTCTTGTGCCTACGTATCCTCATCTGACATGAGAAATCAGAGCAAACGTAGTTCGTGCTAACGGTGTGTTGATGTTTTTACGGATGATGCTATCGTGCGCATTCTAGCAGTTAGGTGTTTTGCAGCTCGCTCGTTGGAGACTTAGGCATTACCTGTTTGTGGTAGAACGGACGTAACATATCCTTTTGAAAGATTGATTAGTTTTCGCCACGCGGGGCAAGAAGTCACGTTTGATTGATTGGATTGTTTTTAGGGGGCGAGACATGTCCTCGGATAGTAACCCCTACGGGTAGTACCCAATTCATTATCTCAAAGTTTTTGTTATAAAAAAGTGTGGCGAACGAGACGTCTTCGTATTGAAAGACGAGCGTCGAAACCACCCTCACTACAGTGGGCATCCCTACGCTCGGAGAAGAAGAGGTCTACACCCAATCCTCTCTCTTTAATTCGATGCAAAGAGAACTTCATTCACTTATTAAGGATGTTTTTGGTTTTGAATGGTAAGTGCTTTGCGACAGAGAACCCTACGGTAAACGTCAGCACTCAGGATAGGAGAAGGCCTACGCCTAACCACTCCACGACCATTCAAGTTTTTGTATGAAAAGGAAATGAAAATGCACTCGGTACAGGACCGAGGTTTTAGGTATGAAAATTGTGGAAGGAAGTTGTGAAAGCGAGATGGTGGATAAAGTCGCGTCTTCGTATTGAAAGACGAATATCGAAACCACCCTCACTACAGTGGGCATCCCAACATTCGGAGAGGAAGAGGTCTACACCCAATCCTCTCTTTTTAATTCAATACAAAGAATTGATTTGAAAATATTTTCAAAGATACACTCGGTACGGGGCCGAGGTTTTAGGAGAAAAAAGCGTTGAAAAGAAATGGTCTCAGATCCAACGTCATTTATCAATAAGTTGACTTAATAACGGTTTACGGAGGTCTCGTCATCGACCAGAACAGATGAAATAAAATAAAATGTCCAATAACAAAAGAAGAATAAAATCCAACTTTTGAGATGATAATAAATATCCTAAACTCTAATATTATAAACTAAAAATAAATATATAATATTTACATAATAAAAAGTTTATAAAAGAATATAATAATAGTTTACTTATAATAAGAAAATGCTATATATACAAAGTTATGAAAAGAAATAAAATAAATAATAATAAAAAAAAATTAAAAATTCAAAAAAATAAAATTGATAAAATGATTAAAATCATAAAAACAAAAGTTGATAAAATAATTAAAATCATAAAAAACAAAAGTTTGATAACTAAAATAAAATAAAATAATTAAAAACAAAAGGTGACAAAGCCTTCTTCTTCGCAATCGTCTCTCTCGCCCTTGTTCTCACCTTTTCACGATAACCCACAACATGACTCCTTCTTCAGCCATCTTAGAGCAGCAAGAACTGAGCGAAGCGGTTCATCATCTTTGCCGCGAAGACGTCATATCGACCCCAACCTCCTCTGATCTTGCTTTCACACTATTCTCTCCTTCTCACTATTTTGGATTTCATCTTCTGAGTTCGATTAAGGTCGTGATTTGGTTGAAATGGGTAATGAGTTTACTTCTGTGAATGGGTTTCCACGAGTTAGGTTTATGATGGTGTGTGGTTGGAAGAAGAATGGTTTGAGTTGATGAGGGTTAAAGGGTTACAGACGTTGAAAGAAAAAGAGGAAGATGATATTTGAGAAGATGAAGCGGATGATTTACGGTGGGTTCGCTGGGTTTTGCCAGAAATGGGTTCTCATCTGAAAAGGGGTTTGAATAGAGGTTGCTGGAAGGTTGAATCTGAAGGTGAAATGGAAGATTGAGGTGTGGTTACAGAGGTTCTGTTGGTTGTTTCTTGGATGAAAAAGATAACTGCGAAGGATGACAAAGTTATTGGTGGGTCTGAAGATGATGAGTTCTGGGAATATGGTTTACGTTTGGTTTTTAAACAGGTGTTTGTTTTGAGCGAGAAGGTTGTGTTTCCATATCAATGATTCAAGGTAGTTGCGAGGTTATTTTGGCAAGGCGGCATGTGATTAAGGCACAGAGATGAGGTTCTGTAGTTTGATGGGAGTTTATTGGAAACAGAAGAAGATGATGTATGAAGTTTTGATTGAAATGAGTTGAAGGTTGAATTTATTTTTCAGAGGTTGAAGATGGATGAAAGTGGTGAATGAGGGAAGGATTCAAAGCTGTTGTATATTTGTTCTAGGTGCAGAAGTTTTGGTTGGTAGTGATTTGTAACAGGTTTGGAGAAAAAGGTTTTTGAGTGGTTAGTTAATGGTGAATGAAATTTTGTTGGAGGTTTTTTTTAAGAAGTGTTGAAGGAGAGAGGATTTGTGATGAGGATCCCAAAATGAAGAATGGAATCTTGGTTTTGATGCTTCAGGTCCGAGGAAAACGGTGGTGGAGTCAGTCTTGAAAAAAAGATTTTTTGTTGTGAGAAAAACCCTCCTTCTTGCTCATTCTGTGATGTCCTTTTTGTACAGGTTATGCAGGCTGTAGGTGTGTTTGTTGGTCTGGCATGGAGGAGTAGTAGCAGGGTAGTGTGTGCAGAGTATTGTAGCAGGCTAGTGTGCAGAGCTGCCTGTACTACCTTCTCACTTATGTGTTTCTTTTGTTGCATTGCAGGTTGTCTGTCTGGTGTGGGAGGAGTAGTAGCAGCTGTACCTTATTTCACCGTGTGGTAATTTTTGTGAATGTGGTTGCGAGATCCTGCTTGTGTAGCAATGTTGCAAAGGGTTTGTTGTTAAGTCATTTGCTTCTGGATAGGCATACCACCAAAACCTCCCCTGCCGAACAAGATAGAATCTGCAGCTGCGCATCGTTTGATAGTATCGTCTACGTATAGGACATCATCGATTCTCGCCAATATGTTAAAGGCCGAGCTCTCTGTCACCCTGGAATAACTTTCAAGAATGGACTGTTCTACATCCTTATTGTATTGTATCTTGGCCATATCTAGTGCTGTTTGAGGGAGCCCAGGAAACCGGTGTTTCAAGCTTGCAGTAGTGTCTCTGCCCGTTGGACAAGAAAATGGTTCTTTTCACCGTCGGCAACAAGGCTTTTTACCTTCCCACTCCAAGACCGTCGGGCTTTCACCGAATTTTTAAGTCTCTGTACGTCTTTTAACCTCCATACATGTATAGCAGCCTCAATTTTATCAGCTATATCCTGTGTGTGGTGCTCAGATGATAGATCAAGGCAATCAAGAAGGCATTCAGGTGAGAACTGGCCAGCAGTTATGTATCGATAAACTATATCCCCTAGACAAGCTTTTCCATTCCTTGGCAAAGATTCCACATAAGCAGCAGGAATTTCCATTTCAGCAAGAACAAAACTATTAATCGCCATGGCAGCCTTAAGTATCTGGTTAGTGCAATCCCTACACTGTTGCAACCGTTTCCTATCATCCTCACACAACCCATTTGGCGGAAGCTTAGGAGAAGGAAGCCACCATTTTTCTTCTTGCCTAACAGAAGGTCTACCATACTCATCACAATCCTTAGAATCAGCCAACACAATTCCTCTTTCAACATACCAAAACTGTGTATCACAAAACCCATCCAGCATACTTAACAGCATCCCATCAAGCTTCTTCAAAGCAGGAAGATTGATGTACAAATCAGACCTAGGCCGCGTCGCCATCACTTCATAAGTTCCACCACCTGGAAACTGCTGCACAGAAGGCACCAGCTCAACAATCGAATTGCTCACACATAGAAGCCATTCCATTTCCCTACGCCACATCGCTTTTTTCTGTGGTGCTAACGGCTCCAACCTCCATAACTCTCCAAACACAGTCGCAGAGAGATTCGTGATTGCATTAGAGATCGCAAGTGCAGTATAAACCCCCTTTCCACCACCAGACATGTCTTCTCCTAAAATAAGCTTAGCGAATCTTTCCTTCATCATTTCAACTTCGGACAAATCCAGGTCACGCTTATGATCCCAAACGACGACTCTTTACCACCGATGACCGGAAGCATGACTTGCGCCGCCGTCGGTAAGTTGAAATGCGCGGCGTTGACGCGGCGAGAGATTCACTGAGCTTGAAGCTCCCTCGGCATCAAAACGTCGACCGTAAAAGCTACTAGAACTTTCCGATTCGCTGATGTCAGCACTCGGACTATAACTTCCACATCTCTCAGAAACGTCTTCAGACGAAACACTTCCCATTTTCTCCAAATCGAAAATTTCACACATATCTTAATTTATCAACACACATTATCAATTAATCTCCAATTCAGTATAATCGGTAACTAACAGCAAAGAAAGGGTAAGTAAAGTAAGTGGAGAAGAGAAAGCACAGTGTAATGTAACGTTCTTCTTCACTTGCCCATTCTTTTTATCTGTTATTATTTGTTATTCTCCTCTGTATTGTTGTTGATGTTGGTGGTGTTAGAATGAGGGGCAGGGTAATGGTGATGTTTGGTCGAGGTTTTGCTGTTGCTTTCAGGTTGGCACAAGGTTTTGGATCGTTATTTTCTTGACGGTTTTGATGCAGGGGATTTTTGCATTTTGTAGCAGGATGTGTACATAAAGCAGGTTTTGGAATTTGGCTAAGAGGCTGGACTTGCAAGATTTAACAATAAGGCATACTGTAATTGAAAGCACATTATAGCATTATATTTGAAAATTATTGTATCGGGTGGTTTATGATGTGTCGTTTTCCTCATGTAAACTCATTTGAAGCTAGTACGTTTGACCTCCTTTTTTTTTTAGAAAAATATCCCACGGGGAAAAGAAAATGGAAGTGGTCATTTTATGATCTGATTCTTTGTGTCAATCATAGCAACATCTTTGTTCCTTTGTGTTGGCAATAACATTGATGTATGACATGCAATATGTTCTTTGCACAACTCTGGATGTGTCTCGATAACAATTTATACCGACAAATCCATGTAAAACCGATCTCTTATCCCCTCATAACCACAATTTCAAAATGGACCAAGCACACCAACATTATTTCTTTTAAAAGTTAAACTTGACATAACTTAGAAAAAATCAAATCTCCCTAATAAAGCCCAATGATTCCTCTTGAATTCTACTTCGAGGTCAACACATCCAATCACAAAAACTTGTCAATTACAAAGAGCATTGACACCAACTCACGACCTAATTCTGGGAAGATCATGACCAAAAGTCGGGTGAACCTTTAAAGAGAAAATTGAATGTGGATAGGACAATTTAGGTTGATTCTTCCCTTAAATCTTGACTAATCAAGGCCTTCACTTTCTTGCACCAAATTTCTAGTTTCACAAAAGAGAAAAAGCTAGATAAACTAGTTAGTTATGCAATATGATGATTGACCTAAATGATATGCATATGAAAATACGAAGAAAAAGCCAGTCAAAGTCGGAAAAACCGGTGGGCAAATTTTAGGGTGCAACAGCTGCCCCTATTCAATCGACTTGGACCAGAAGGGATGAAAAGCAACCGCTTTCAGACATTCAAGGTAGAAGGTGATTGAATACAAAAGAACCCGGAAATTTGCCAACCGCAAAAGAAACCTCTAACATCACTGTCAGACATCTATATCAAGTTTGTAAAACATCTGACCTCGCTGTCAGAACTCCGCATAAAATTCCTTTGACATTGTCGTCAGACATTCAAAACAATCAATTGGTAAATCACACCTGATATCGCCACCAGTCATTCACAAAAATAAAGCGTCTGACATTGCCGCCGGACTACCAAAACACCCAACATCGCCGCTGGAAAACTAAATCACCTGACATCGCCGCCAAAAACAAACATCCAACATCGCCGCTGGAGAACCAAATTACTTGACATCGCTGCCAGAAAAACATCCAACCTCGCCGCTGGGAAAACAAAATTACCTGACATCGCCGCCAGAGAAATACAAACCTAGTAAGATAACCCTGACATCGCCGTCATCAAACATCTGACATTACTTCCAGCTAACTATAACTCTGAGAAACACTCGACATCACCGTCAAGTACCTATGGGGATACAAAATTCTGGCATCGCCGCCAGACAACCATGGTGCTAATAAACCTCTGACATCGCCGCCAGACAAACATAAATCTGATGAGCACCTGACATCGCCGTCAACTCTCAACATCGTCCAATGATGGACGGAGAAACATTATATCCAAAACTTACATCGTCTAATGGTAGACGGAGAGGAAAACCATAACCAAATCTCGCATCGTCTAATGATAGACGAGAGGAATATCCAAACCAAATCTCGTATCGTCTAATGATAGACGAGAGGAAAATCATATCCAAATCTCGTATCGTCTAATGATAGACGAGAGGAAAACCATAACCAAATCTCGCATCGTCTAATGATAGACGAGAGGAACATTAAATCCAAATCTCGCATCGTCTAATGATAGACGAGAGGAATATCAAAACCAAATCTCGCATCGTCCAATGATAGACGAGAGTAAAATCAAAACCAAATCTCGCATCGTCTAATGATAGACGAGAGGAAAATCATATCCAAATCTCGTATCGTCTAATGATAGACGAGAGGAACATCTGTTGGGGATGTCATCCTCCGAGGGTTGATGGACAAAGTATGACCGACGTGCGATCTGGAACCCAAAAGTAAGTAAGCGGCTGAGCTGTCTGAACAAAGTTGTTGATATACCACCGTCTTGATTGAAGAGAAACATTCAGGTTGCCACGGAAGGCTAACAAAAACTGGCTTATGCTTCGCATGCATATGTTTGAATTTTATGGCGTAATGCTCCATACAAAATGGAAATGCTACGCATTTGAGGATGAAATGCAAAGATGATGCAAATATGATAACTATATGCAAAAATGCAGATGCAGGCTCGGGCTGCTGGGGAAAGCTGGATCTGAAAGAATCACTCCAGCAAAATAAATGCTGAAGAGGTGAAGCCAACTCTGCTAGGAATAACCGGATGTGCCAAGTATGACTGGACTCTCCTGGGGACAGCTTACACATGCCAATGGAGATTGTGTTTCTGCTGGGGAAGACAGGTGAAGGGTTACGACTTCCCGACATTCATCTTGAACCTGAAGATTGACTGCACCTGCTTGAATAGCTCTGAGCAGCTCTGAAGGTATGGAGAGGAAAAGTTCCTTTATTTCCAAACTTGCCCCAACCTGTGGGATATCTGTGTAAATTTTCCTTGAAAGGAACCTGAAGTTTCTGTACCCTGCTAGTTTGATATTAACTGCCTCAGCATCATGAACCTCGGAGAGGTGCTTCCAATTAGCTGCCTTCCGGGTAAGGATAATATCTGTGATCTTGGGGTAACCTGCCCTAGCCTTGAAGTGATTTGCCCCTGATTGACCAATTTGTAGAGAAGTGCCCCTGGCTGACTTCGAGAGATTTATCGAATCTCGACCTGATTGCCCCAGATTAACTGATCTTCGGATGGCTGACTCCTTTGATGATCATTTGGTATGCCTTGCCCCTGCTCAACGAAGTATTCAGGAACTCTGTATCTCATCTCGATCAAACTTTCCACTGTAGAAACTTTCCTGCTGTTAAGTACTTACTCGCGAGTAAAACAAATTGTTTTGCAAATGATAATATCAATGCAATGCATATGACAGTTTTGAAATCCAAGTCTGTTCACTAGAAAAGGTTGTGACATATAGTGAACGAATCACTTATCAGAATGTCAATATCAATACCCATAGGGTAAGAAAAATCCTTTTTAGGAGTCAGTTTCAACGCGATCTTTACCGAAGTATGCTTTCGAAACAAACTTGCTTCAATTAGGACTTTTGAAGGTTGTAACTTGGTTAGGTTCACGGTTTGAAAGAAAGGATGTAAGGCTCAAAGTTCTATTTAACCCACCCACTCTCCTTGATGTTCTCCAATCCTACGTTCATCTAATTCGACACTCGCTCGCCTCTCATAGGTTGACTGACAGGAGTGATGGTTCAAGAAACCATAAGTTTTCGGAGTGACAGTCACTCGCTTTTCGTCTTTGGTGTCTGGCTCACACGACTTGTTCTTCGTCATTTTTTATTCCCCTATTTTTGCCTGGACTGACTCTTTTGAGTACATCTTCTGATTTCGAAGTCCAGCGGGATGCCCCAATTTTTTCCTAAGCCACTTGCTTTCAAGTTATTAACTTAGCGGGCTTTTTTCTTTTCTTTTGATTCTCTTTTGAATAAATCGTGTGACACCGGCTGGTCTGACTTGTTGAAAGGATTGTAACTGTCCCACTTCTCGGCTTTTTTAGGTACGACCTCTATGGGTGTGATTGATCCTTGAACGGGGGACCACTCCTTCTGTAATCTGGATGCTCGGTCAAATTAACTGACATCTACCATGCCCTAGGTTAAGATTGAGGGTTTTTCGTTTTCAGAAAGAAACTCCTACTACTAGGCTCAAAGGGGTTGACAAGGGATTAACATCCTTATATCTCCGGTGTTTAGGAATTTGAAACAATGCCTGTACATCATCAGCAAAGGTTTTATTCAAAAGCATACACTCGGAAGCTTGCGCGTCTTTCAATTTCGTCATCCTCCCTCAAGGAATTCCGCTTAAACAAGCGTTTGACATTAATGGAAAAGCAATATTGAGTGAACACGAATGGATTTAATCAAAACATGCATATTCATTTCATTATCATTATCAATCGAAAACAAACACGTCTTACAAATGAAATTTGCAAATAAGTTCACACTTAAACAGAAAAGAAACTACGAATGCAAAGGAATAACATGATAGAAAGATTGCCAGCTTCGGGGAACTGGGCTTTCATTCTTGACTTGCTGCTGAACCAACCATCTTTAGAATTGCTCATCGAAATCCGTCTGATACTCTTCTGAACATATGCTCTCGGTGAATCCCTCCATGACATTAGCTGCCGAACCCATATGACTTGACGAAGGAAGATCGTTGATCTGAATACCCTGAGGCGTGATTGAAAACCTGTTGGAGTCCAACAGAGTCTGAACCTGGCTTCTAAGCACTTTACAGTCTTCAGTTGAATGCCCCTGTGCCCCAACATGGTACTCACAGCGGGCGTTGACATCAGAATCTGAAGGATGTGGGGAAGTCTCCGGATCAGCTTTCTTCGGCACTATCAAACCACCTCTGATCAAGTCTGGCAATCTCTTACTGTACGACAATGGCAACTGAGTGAAATGTCTCTCTGGCTTCCTCGGTCTTCGTCGGGCGTGCTGACGCTGCTGACGACGGTATGAATGTTGA